CTGAGGGTATCACTTCCTCAAAGCCATGTCAGCAGCAGGATCCTGGAAGTGTTGCATGGATGTGTGGTCAGCTGACCAGAGCAGAGGGTAAAGCCCAAACAGGAAGAAAGATTGCTGGCCTATAAAGATGTCAGTGGAAACAGACGAAGGAGAAATAATTCTCTGAGGGATCTGAGGAGGAGCCATGTGAAGGAAAACCCCTGCGCTAAACTCAAGGCTGATGCCATTGAGACACTAGAAAACACAGTAGGGTCTAGAACAAAGAGACCAGCTTGGACATGCAGGCGCTGGACCCAGGCTTTGGAGTCCCAGAGCTGGTCAAATGACAGGCTTTGTCGAGGTTCCCTATTGATGAAACGGGCAGGCTACTTTGTCTGCCTCCTCAGGGTGAAGTGAAATGATACAAGGAAGTAAACTTCCAGAATTACATCAGATACACCCCACTAGACACCTGGCTAACCACTAAGCCTTTAGCACATGGACCTTTAGGGGACAGTGAAGATGCAGACGACAGAGGGGCAAGCTCCCTTCCCCCATGCTCTGAGGTGCTCACAAACCCCACGCAGAGTCCTGGGGAAGGGCCAGTCTAATACCACAGAAAACTTGCCTGGGGTAGTGTGGCCAGTGGGCTGTGCCAGGAAAGACAATTCACAACCCCCCTCTGCTCCAGTGCCGTCAGCCGCCCCTGTGCCTGTAGGTCACACCTCAGGCAGAACCATCCTGTTGTGGCAAAAGGATGTCTTTCTGCCCCCTCTGCATCTCCGGGTCCTCCTCCAGCCCCACGCCCCCACACCCCCAAACATTTGGGGGTACTGCTGCATTCCTTGTACCAGGAGAAAACACAATGCCCCGTATTCTCCCACCTCAGAGCAAGTAAAGGCTTCTGTTTCACACAACTCATGCCCAGCCTGCTTCTCACTCCCAGACACACACTCCCAGGCTCTGGACACGCACATTTGTGTGTGTGTGCATACCCAGCCACACACGATTGCACACTCTTAAGCGCGTGCCCTCTTCCTTTCTGCTCACTCGAAGGTCCACGTGTTGTTCTCGGTCAATACCTTAGCTGTCAATCAGTGTGTGCTGTCACTCAAAATCCCTGGTGGATGGTTACTGAGCCCAAACCATCTTGTCTCTGAGGCAGTCTCTGAGGACCATCCTATCACGCATGTAGTCTGCTTCCTAGGGAGCAACACGTCGTCATAGGAAAGGGGTGTGCTTTGGGGTCAGATGACATGGCTCACACTGGCCTCTGATGAGGACTTGGGGCATCTCCACCTACCTGGAGCCTCAGTTTCATGATCTGTAAAAACTCAACGCCACCTTGCAGAGCCTGCCACTGTGGTAGCAAGGCAGAAAAACAGCGCAGCAACCAGCTACAGACTCGGGCCATGCTGCTTCTTGTCAATCACTTCTGTGGGGTTTTAAGTCACATTATCTTTATTTTATTTGTGTGTGTTTGTGTGCATGTGTATGTGTGTGTACACCATGGCATACATGTGGAAGTCAAAGGACAACCTGTGGGAGCTTGTTCTCTCCTTCTACCATGTGGGTCCCAGCATTGGTCAAACCCAAGCATTGGTCAAACAGAACACAGGAACCCTGTTTCTGGTTCTTCCATTGTCACGCAAGGACATAGCTATCGCTCAGATGTCTGCTGAAATGGCACCAGCAGCACTCCCCACACACATATACACGTACACACACATAGGCACACATGCACACACACGTGCATACACACATCTCAGCTGCCACTGTCTGCTGGGGTTCCTGCTGACAAGGCTGTTGCAGAACGGTGGGAGAGGTGAAGTAGACAGCATGCAGACGAGGACTGACTGCCAGAGTTACCCAGATGGGGCTCCCCCACACCGCCTGTCTAAGACTGACTGAAACATTCGTGTGTCAGTTCACATGCATGAACACCCACACTGACACTAGGCAATGAATGGAAGATGAACAGTCAGGATGGCCCAGAGAGTCGAGGTGCTTGCTGCCAAGCCTGACGATCTGAGTTCGATCCCTGGGTCCCACGCTGTAGAAGGAGTGACCAACTGTTGCACATTGTCCCCTGACTTCCACATAAGCTGTATGGCCCGTGCAACAATACACACGAATAAATACACGTGATTGTTTGTTCAAACGTGAAAGGAAAGGAAAATCTGGCACATGCTGTTATGACACTCTTAGCTTAGTGTGGGAGACAGGGAAGCAATGCAGTGGCTAGCTCAGGGGAACAAGTGCAGAAACAAGAAGTCAGTAATTCTGGGAGACCGCAGAGACAGATGTACAAAGGGGACAACTGGACAGCCATAAGACAGGCGTAGAAGAAACCAAGGGGTGGGGACAGCACTCAGTGGCCCTGGGGGAGGGAAACGGGAGGTCGCGGTGGGGAAGAGACAGAAATCTTTAATAAATAAATTAATTAATTAAAAAACATTTATTTGGGGGATATTCTCAGCCTGCACACGTATGCACCACTAGCGGAAGTTCAGTGTAAAGGGACGGATTTTAGGTGGTAACTGACTCACAGACCATGAGGACAAGGGTAGCTTGAGCACGGCTAGAACCAGTGTTGAAGGTCGCTGCCGACAGGCTTCATTCTTACCGTGTCCCCACATGACCTGCAGCGGGCCCAAGCTCCTGCCCCACTGCCTGTTCAGACCCAACAGAAAAGTGGTTCCCACCCTACTGCTCCAGTGAAAGCTTCAGGATTAAGTTTTGTTGTTGAATTAGGTCTTGGTTCTAGTACCTTGAAACCAATCATCGTAAACCCAGTGAAGAAGCCAAAGCAACAGGGAGGAGGTCAGCTCACCTCTTCCACGTCGGCAGGAGTAGGGATCTCAGGGAAGAGCTAACGTGCAGTTTCCAGGATGAGACGACTAAAAGGTGGAAGGGCAGGCGCCACAATGACACCCATCCCCCTGTCCTCTCTTAGAGCCCAGCTAGCGTTCTTTTGTTCCATGTGTTGGGGCTCAAAACAGAAATGTGCCACGGGACTATGAAGGGGTTGAGCATGGAAAGCCTTCTAGTGAGTGTCTCTACAAACACAGGATGGCGTCTGCACACAACAAGGACAACATATAAACTTATAGAAGGAAAACATGGGATACTTTGATGACGTTGAGATGTCAAGGATTTCATAAGCAAACCCAAAGGGGGAAATAGATCAATATGGTTATTAAAATTAAGAACTCTTGCTGCACAAGCATGCAGACCTGAGTTTGAATCCTCAGAACCACATTAAGAAGCCAGGCATGGTCACAGGTGCTTGCAATCCCAGTATTGAGGGGTGGAGACAAGCGGACCTCCAGAGTTTCCAGCCAGCCTCCCCAAAAGGCTGCACTTCAGATTCAGTGAGAGCCCTCTCTCCGGGTAATGAGGCAAGAATAAAATGTCAGCTGCAGAGCAAAGCAATCATAAAACATGATAGCATCTACATAAAAAAATGTAGGCAGAACAAAACAGAAATACTTGCTGAAGCAAATCAGGTGCTGGTGAAGTTAGAGTTCTTAATTTAAACATTCCTTAAACCATTATAGATGTACTTTAAGTCGAATCCGTTTGGATGGTTGATGTATTTCATTCAAAAATATATAATAACTGAATTCTGTAGCAGCCAGATTTGCTGGAGGAGGGATTTATTTGAGCTGTTTATTTGTCTTTAGTTGCCTCTACCTTTGACATTTTACTGTGAATATGTAATGTCTCCCGAGCATGGTTACCTGCGTAATTAATTACTGACTCCACAGAGGACAATGGCTAGTTACCCTCAGTGTGAGGGAGCTTCTCAAGTAATTTCAGCAATAAGTGCTTCCTCAGAGCCACCAGAATATTCTTCCAAGGGCAGTTACCTCCCTGCTAGCTTGACCAAATATGTACATTGCTCACATGGTTGCAATACCCTCTAGAATGTGACAGGCATGACCCGGCAGTCTGGTTAGAGGTACCGTGTACTGGGAGAGAGAGTCAGGGTCACCTGGAGGTTCCTAGCAGTGGCTCAGACAGAGTGTGCCACGCATCAAAGGAGGCTGGGAACCAGCTGTGTCTTTGTTCCCAGAGCCTTGCAAAGCCAGGCGGCTACAGCCTCCACCACCATTGAGTGACAGGCAGAAGTGTGTAGGGAGGCACAATGTTCTTCCCCCTCCTCTGTATGGAAGGAGGCGTAGAGAGCTTGGTTGCCCCCACTGGATGGCAGCAAACTTTGAGAGCCCTGGGCTCCATCCCCAGCACTGCAAGAATTTTGAAAAAGACACAAACACAGCTAGCACACATTACATGGGCCCCTACTCATAGTGCGCTCATCCAGGTGTTTTTTATAACACTGGGTTCTTGCCAGAATTGGGGAATGTAGCGATGAGGAGCTCCTTGTGAGATTCAGAGGGTCAGAACTGACCTCGTCAACATACATGCAGAAGCAGAGCCGGGATTTGAAGGCAAGGCTCTTGAGAGCTCCTCCTTGTTGCTGCCCATGCATGACTCTAGGCAGGGAAGAGAATCCCTGCCACCCCACACTACTTATTCCAGGTCCAGGCAGAGTGGACGCAGAGCAGACAGGCTCATTCCTGGTCCCGTGGACTTGTCTCATTGGCTACCTGCTCTACATTGCTTTCTGATGCTTTGGATTCTTCCAAAGCTATAACTAAAAGCAACTTGGGGAGAAGAGGGTTCATTTTAGCTCACAGGTGACATGGCAGAAAGCCAAGGCTTTCCTTATAACTCAAGACAGGAGCTTCAAGCGAAACCAACAAAGGACAGCTGCTAAATGGCTTGCTCATTCTGGCTTGTTCCACTAGCTTTTTAACAAAGCCCATGCCCTCCTGCCTAGAAATGATACCACCCACAGTAGGCTGTATCTTCTTACAGCAATTAGTAATCAAGAAAAATCCCCCCACAGACTTGCTCACAGGCCAATCTGATGGAGACATTTTCTCATTGAGGGTTCCCCCTCCCATGTGTGCCCGTGATACCACCCCAGCTCTAACCTGTGCTTGTGTCTGCAGGAGACCAGCGCTGTCCTGCACCACCTGCTCCAATAACCTTCTAAGCTGCTGTAAGAGCCTATGGGGGCTTCGTTTTCTCCGGCAATACCCAGAAGGCACCTCAGAGGAACAGTCGGGAGAGCTACAATCTGAGAAGGCAGAAAGGATACCATCACAGGAAGAAATGAGGGCACTGCCCTGTGAGGTTGTCTAGACTCTGCCCAGGACACCAAGATCCTGGCCCTATCACCTGGACCTCCCTTCTGGAGCCTCTATGGACCAAGCCCTCAAACCACTGAGGACAAACTTCAGCCTAAGCCTGGGACATCACAGAACACACAGACCAGTTTCCCTGTGAGTGGATTCCAGACAGGTGCTTGGGCTCTTCTAGGCCGAATTCCTTGGGTTCAGAGCTCACACTGGTGCTGGCTCTAGGAGACATGAGCAAAAAGCAGGACAGATGTACACACATGCATGTATGGATGTGTTTCTGTAAAAAAACACGCACATCTGCTGAGCAGAGCAAAGGATGTTGCTATAGAGCACTGGCCTCACTAAGTGCTAAGTATTTTGCCTACATGGATTCTCATCACGTCTTTATATGTGATTAGGACCAGCAACACTGGCCAGACTTTATAGAGCTAGAAACCAAGAGTCAGAGAAGTGTGGAATGTACCTCAGGCTACTCAGCTAGAAAACGTGCCTGGGATAGAGGTACTCAGAAAGTACTTGGTGAGTGGGTAGATGTGTGGAAAAATGGATGGATGGATGGATGGATGGATGGATGGATGGATGGGTGATAGATGATGGGTAGATAGATGGATGATAGGTGAATGGGTGGATGATGGATAAAGAGTGGATGGATGAAGGGTGGATGATGAAAGATGGATGAATGGATGACAGATGGATGAGAGATGATGGGTAAATGGATGAATGATGGGTGGATGGATGGATGATGGATGAAGGGTGGATGATGAAAGATGGATGGATGAATGAAAGGATGGATGGATGGGAGATGATGGGTAGATGGATGAATGATAGGTGGATGGATGATGTTTTTGAAACAACACTACACTGCCACTCAAAAGAGAAGTCAAGATAGTCCTTCAACTCAGCTAACTCTCCTCTAGCAAATCTTAGGCCTCCAGGAAGCCCTCCATGCTGAAATACAGTCATTGATGGTGCTTGTTATGAACAAAAAGCGGTGTGCAGTGGACTTGCAGGGCAAAGTGTGTCCATTGCGTCCGGAAGGACAGGCAGAAGTCAGGAAAATGCAAAGGGTACAAATGTGTGGGCTGACCCAGTGCTGCCTTCTGCTGGCCACATGACCTGGACGTACTCTCTGCCACTCTGGGCTGCTCTTTACTCCTCTGTACAAATGGAAAAGCTAACCTTTCTGTAGTTAGAGATCTACCGAAGAGACTCAAGGAGGCGGAGTTGGTAAGCGTTCCAAAGAGATGAGGATGTTTATGGGTTTCTCTCCCCTAGCGCTTCCTTGACCTCCCCAGATAACCATGCTACCCTGGGTTTCCAAGACCCTCTCCTGGCCCCCAATATCCCGTTAACTTTTCAGCTCTCTTTGTGACTCATTGACCTCCACACAACCATTAGATATGACTGTTCCCTGGGGCTTTGGGCTGAGACTGCTCACTCTGGCCCTCCCTTTGCAACTTCATCTACCTTCAGGACTCCAGTCACAAAACAGAAGAGATAATTCACTGACCTATAGCTGTAGGCAAGGCATCGGGTCATGCTTCTCCTCGGCCCGGATTCTTGAAAGGTACCTTACCCCTAACATGCCCACAACCACACGCTTCTCCCTCACCTGCTTCTCTAAAGTCCTCCTTCTCGAGCAAAGGTCACATCCTGAGCTTCAAAACCTGAGGTCAGCCTCGTCCCTCCTTTTGCCTTGCTTCCCATGGTGGACACTCTAGAGTCTTAGCCCCCACACGGGTCTGCCCAACTGGTAATCACCGTCCCTGTTTCTCCCGACTCAGCTGCTGAAGTCTCTAACACAACAAGTGGAGAAGCTGCTTAGGTCTCTTTCCTATCCTCCCCACCCGCCCAGCCCCTTCCTCCAGTCAGCTCTCCTCACAACAGCCTTGACGGACTGGGAAAACGCATGCCCTATTGTGTCCATTGCAGGCTAGGACCGTCTCTAGACTGACCCATTGGCCTGGCTTTGCCAGCTTCCATGACCCTCCAGCTTCCCCCTGCACCGTCCTCCACCTCCTCTTAATTCTGCCCCTATTTGCCTTCTCGTTTTGCTTAGAGCTACCATTACTAGCAACCAAAGCACACAGAGTGCTATTTCCATGACCTTAAATGCTCTTTTGTCCTCTGGACAAAGTCAGCATCGTGAGATCTCACCTCAAATACCATTTCCTTGTCGCTTGGGACCCATACTACACCAGGCCCTTGCCACACTGCGGGCCTTTCTTTAGAGGCTATTGGCTTGGTTGTAATGCAGCAGTTGACTGTGGTTCCTTAGACACCGTCTTACTCACCTACACATGAGTTCTTTCAGGTGACCTTCTCCCGCTGACCCCCTGGAGAAGTGTTCACACATAGCAGAGGTTAAGCGAAGACTCGCTGGGTGAACGTGCAAAGAATGCTCCACACTATTGTAAGAGCTAACCTGCCAATAAACTTCAAGGCATCGTTGGTTCTGATGACCACCAGAGACGACCATTGAATCTCGTGATCAAATTTCCTCTGAAAGCCCAAGAAACCCATCTAGGTGTCTCCTCAGGACTCTATGGCAGGTGAGTCTCATAAGTCACAGTGCAACTAACTGGAGACGGAAGACCTCCAGTGCAAAGGGACCTGCCCAACCACGGAAACAATCAGGGCTCAAGACCATGGTGCCCAGGGACAATGTGCCACTTCACAGGATTCCTGCAAGTGTGAGCTCTCTGGAGCTTCTCAGGGAAGCAGAAATGGGTGCATGATGCCTAGAGAGGATCAGCTGCAGTGGGACTTCAAATCCATGCTCTGTGTTGCCATGTTCCAATAAAGTTGTCAAAGCAAGCACTGCCTTGGTATCTCCCTCCCTCCCCCTTCCTGCTCTCCCTCCCTGACAAGGGAATACTCCCAAACTTTATCATGTGGTATCTTGATTTAGAACGGGAAAGTACACGATTGGTGTTGGGGATCTGCTGAGGAGCCCAGACACAGGGAATCATTTAGAGCCCTACCTCAGCTGAGCTGGCAAAGAATACGAACCTTTCAGAATACCCAGAGGCCCGTTTCCACTCAGCCCACTGGCTGTGGTCCTCGGGACCAGCATTGGAGACAGCCAATCAGCATACAGATAAGGAGCGAGAGTTTATCACGCTTGGGCTGTTTGCTCTGGGTCATTCAAGCAAGAAATGACCGCTACAGACACACATCTCCCATGAGAATTTCAAGTATTCCACTAAGAATTCATCAGCCCTCAACTGGTCGCTTCTTGGTGGCTGGAATGAATTCCCTTCACCTCATTATTTAGAGGTCATTGCCAGTGTCAGCACCACAACCCCAATCTCCCTGTTCAAGGCCATGGGACACAGTGGCGTCTCACACCCTGTCATGTGACTGCCCTCAGAAGCTGGTCTGACTGCACCAGGGCTTTGCTCCCTGGGGCTTTGCTAAAATCTCACGTGCAACATAAGCCTGGCTTGATTCCCAGAGAAACAGTGACCCCCAAAGGACTTGCCTTCTGGGTTCTGTGGATTCCAGATGAACCTGAACATTGTTTACAACTGACATCTTGGAGCCCTTTCCGTACCCAGGTTTGTTCTTCGAGGGGCAGTCTCCATGAGAAATCCACCAGTTAGCACCCACAAAATGGGGCCGGAAGAGGGAAATGTGACCAGGGAACAAGCCCAGAGAACAGCACAGTTGAGCTCACAGCTCGAGCCTGCTTGTCAGCAATCTGTCTTTTCTGATTTATAATTTGAAGTTGTTTTTAAGGTCTTAAGTGATTCCAGAGATAGGCTCTTAAAAACAGAAGTGGCTGTGTGAACAGGATGGGGGACGTGGCAATATCAATGGACAGATCAACATGGGAAGGGGGAAGTTTAGGGCCCCACCCATAGAATTAGCCTCTCCTGAGGATGACCCTTAGTGGTTGTCAATGTAGACTTGTCATTCCTGAAACTACATGTACACCACCAGCAGAAGCAGACTCAGCAGGCTGCATTTATCTGTATTTGGCATGCACATATATACATATATCTCTATATTAGGTAGCAATAATAATCAAAGTGAAAGAGGCTGTTCGCTTGAGAGTGGGGGGAGACTTGGAGTGGAAGGGAGGAGAGGGAGGGGAAGTGATGTTGTTCTATTTCAATTAAAAACATGAGAAATAAAAGAACACATACACTAAAATATTATAGTACCATAAAGAAAAATGAGGCTCATTTAGCAAACCCCCACCCTCATCTTTTTCCCTAATAAATTTTTGATGAAGCGATAGCCTCAGATTTCAGCACAGCGTTTAATTAAATTTGATTATTTTTCTGTTTTAATCACCAAAGTTGCAGCATATGTAAGGACGTGAATTCAACACTACGTCTTCGTAATCCAACCAGAACAGCAACACTAAGGTCTCCCTCATTATTCTTAGCCACGGGAGCTTGTCCCCTGGCTTATGCATCTGTCTGCCTACTCACGGACACTGAGTCACTGGTAATGATTTTTATGTGTAAGCAATGGGATGCTGATAATCTGTCAGTGTTTCCTTGTCGGGGCTGCGGTGCACACTTACCGCAGGACACGGACAGCCCCTGGCTTACATTGGCTCTACTTAGTTTTCTCTCTTCATGGTGAGGGTGACACACATGTTGTAGTCATAACTGCCATCTTGCCCCAGGTTAGACAGCTACAATGGGGTCCCTTCTGGTGATCCTGGGTGGCAGTCAAGGGATGCAGCTCCTCCTCGGCCATCGGATCGCCAGGGTGAGCAGTCAGCACTCTGCAGTGCACTGCCTTGCTTGATGAGGGTATGGCTGTGTTTGCAGTATATGACAGTAAACACTGAATTGCTCCTGAGTCTGAAGGTTTGACTAACCGAGAGAGGATAGTCCGACTTCCCTCCATGTGTCTCTTAGCCTCTTCTAGGACCTAGGGGTCCATCCACGCATACTGTCTTGAGAATGACAGGGCACAAAACAACAACCCCAGAAGCAGGTGCTCATTTCAAGGTTCTGAGCAAATACATTACTAACAAAAGCAAGTTCATGGTCAGTCCACAGACTGAGCAAATAAATCCATTCTCCATGTGGAACTGAGATGGAGAGATGAACAATCAAATCAAAATAGCTCATTATTTCCCATCCTTCTGCATCCCTCCTTCACAAGGACAAATCAGACACGGCCCTGGCAGATTCGCATACCTACAGCGACCACCCACGTTCACTGGCATAGACTAAGAAGAAGGATGACATCAGCGATTTATGATCAAGGTCCCTGTTATTCATCCATGCCCCTGCCCTGCCCTCCACAATACACTAACAACACTGCCACTGCAGGCAGAGATACTGCAGAAACTGCTGGACAGTGGAACAAGGCCGCTATGGGGAATGGTGGATCTAGATTTTTTTTCAGAAGGGTATACAAATCTGGATTTTTATTAACAGCACTAAATTGAGTTCATATTTGTAAAACTATCAGCATAATATCAGATATAGAATAAATGCTGTACAGTTGGATGAAGACAGAAGGGACAAAGGAAGTGGAGGTGGAGGGGGCAGATGAAGGCTGTCTGAGAAAGAAGGATGACAAGTGAGAGAGAAAAGAGAGAGCTCAGAGACTGACAATGTGGAAATGAAACTATACAGCAACACTGACTTTCTCCACGCCACATCTGGCCAGATTTCTCCTGGCTCTTGGCTTCTGATTCATTGCTGTTGCTGCTGTCCTGGGAGCACCTCTACCAGGAAATGGGGGTGGGCGTTCACAGAGGAGCCCCCCCCAGCACTGCCTGATACCCTCTGTGTGCACTGGGGAAGGAGTGAGAGCACAGGATGCGAGCAATTCCATCCTGAGAAGGCTTTCTCTGGAGGTCAAGTGTGAGCCACAGCGCTTCCTGGCCCTCCGACCTCTGCAGCCAGGGCCCTAGGTTGGGTCTGATCATGTGTCTTGTCACTTCTACTCCTGTGATAAAACATCACAACGAAGGCAACTTAGAGAAAAAGAGTTGATGTGGGCCCACAGTTTCAGAGGTCAGGGTCCGTAATGGTGGGAACAACACAGCAGCGGGTAGACCTGTGGCTAAGCTGGAAGCTGAGAGCTGAGCCCGCACATCTCAAACTGCAAGCGTAAAGCAGAGAAAACAAGCTGGAAATGGCACAAGGCTTTGAAACTTCAAAGCTAACCCCAGTAGCATACTTCCTCCAACAAAGCCACACCTCTTAAACTTAACCAAACAGAACCACCAACTGGGTCCAAGAATTCAAATGTCGGGCTGGAGAGATGGCTCAGAGGTTAAGAGCACTGACTGTTCTTCCAGAGGTCCTGAGTTCAATCCCCAGCAGCCACATGGTTGTTCACAACCATCCATAATGGGATCTGGTGCCCTCTTCTGGCAGAACACTGTATTCTTAGTAAAGAAAGAATTCAAATGTCCAAGACTATGGGGGACATCTCATTCAAACCAACTCATAAAGGCATCCATAGACCCCTAACTACCTAGCTCCCGATCCCCATTTTCTCCTCACTGTGTCTCCCAAACATCCCAAAGTTGATGGGTTGTAGTGCATGGCTGGCATTGAACTCCAGATCCTCAACTGCTCAGCACATCAGGTTCCTCCGGTGTAAAATACGGATGATTACAATCTGTCAGAGAATTCTCAGAACTGAAATGAGACTGTGTCCCTTAGAACAGCAACCCAACAGAAGGGCATACATGGTATTTATTAGAATTTGAATCTAAAAATGTCCCCTAAGGGTATGTTTGGCCACCAGCTGATGGTGTTTTGAAAAGTGATTTGATCATGAGAATGCTAACTCCTTCCGGGGATAAAGCCACAGATGAATACACTTACTGTACAGTGAGCAGCTCTGCCTCTGCACCCCTCCCAGGAAGATGCTTTGCCCCATCTCATGCCCAAAACAATAGACAAAACCCTCTAAATCCATGAGTCTAAATAAACATGGCTTCACCTTCACAGCTTCACACAACGGCCTCTCTAGAGATGTCCTATGTGCAAGCCACGCCCAGTGAGACAAACCACTTCCTGTTGCCTGCAAGAAGTACGACTCTTGGCCACCTCTCCAGCACCATGTCTGTCTGCGTGGTGCCATGTCCTTATGTTAGGTAATAGACTGAACCTCTGAAACTGTAGCTGCTATCTCAATTTAATGTGTGTGTGTTTTTTTTATAAGAGTTGCTGTGGTTATGGTGTCTCTTCACAGCAATAGAAACTCTAAGATGGTTTCCCTCAGGGGCAAGAAAGATGATCAGTTATCTGTTCAAGGAGAAGGATAACACACAATGTGATAGTCTGTTGTCTATGCGACACTAGCAAGTCAGTATCTAACTCAGCAAACAGAATCTCTAAATAGTATTTCATCCAGCCTTACTGTGAACTAGCCTGCTCCTGGCTGTCCCCAGCAGAACAAGTCAGAAGTGTCACGTATAGACTTTACATTTGTATGAGTTACAGGTTAGATTTTGGACAGCAATCTTGGGTTCTAGGAACAGCTGGTAGATGGGGCGCCACCTGGTGGCCAGACCATTTATTCATTAGACACCATAAGTCCACAAAAATTTGGGGCATAGGAGCTTCCAAAGAATGAAAAAAAAAATCCTAAGAACCAAAAGATGATTCTTTAGAACTCCCCAAAGTACATGATTTAATAACTGCAAAACATAACTTGTCAAGCATGGCTTAGTCCAGTTACATAAAAATCACTTTTACCTTTTAAAATGTGTAGGGGAGGATTCCACGGAGCTCCAGTGGAGACCGGAAGGCAGTTTGCAGACGTTGGTTCTCTCCTACCATGTTGTCAGACTGGGTGGCAAGTGCCTTGGCCGCTG